AACACCTTCTTGCCTCTGCCACTCACTGCCTGCCTTTCTCTCTCCTGGGAGTGTACTCTGACTTTTGTAGGATTTGCTTTAATTTTACAGAGAAGTTGTGTTAAAACAGTCCCTTATAATTCAGATTATAGTAAATACTAAATTTGAATTAATGTCAATGTAATTTCTGTTGAATTTGCTTGTGTGATTTTGCTAGTGTCTACAAATTTTTTCAGTTCATACCATGGGGGGTATCAAACACATTGATCTTTTCTGTCAATTTTAATGGTACTTCTTTGTGTGGAACCCCATCAAGGTTTACAAAGTGCATCAAAGCACTTTTTTTCAGTAAATTTCAAAAGCTATTGATCTAGATTTGTATTGAGAAATTTCTGAAGACTGCTGGGACATAGGTAATTTTTAATATATTTGAGCATTCTGCCATAATCCACAAGGTTTTTTAAACATTTCTTTGGGTGTTGAAAATCTGGTGACAAGATCACTCTGAGAGAGCATCTGGATACTGTAGTCCTTTTACAAAGCGTTGTTCCAGTCTTTGCTTTGGAAGCAAGAGTCAGCTCTTTGTTTACAGATCTTTTTGCAAATGCACAGCAAATAATCTCCTGTTAGGATTTGTTTTCAGTGGAATGTAAGGAACAAAAATGGGGGCAACTAACTTGATTTTGGGACAGTGACAGCAAGGATGTAACATAATTTGTTTTACCCATTCATTCTTCCATCTGAATGCAACTGCTTTCTAGGGGTTGGCCATCTGAAAAGATTGGGGCCAAGGCCTTTCCTCAGGTTTTCATTGCGGAATTTGGTGTAATAGTGTTGCTTCCCAAATCCCCAGTCAAAGCCCACGCCATGCTACATGTCAGGACAACACCTAGGCACATATCTTTCCCTTTTTTCACCCTTGTTGGCAGAGGAAATCTGAGTGTATGAACTGGGAGAGGACTGCAAGGTATTCCTTTTGTCCCCTGAATTGGTGGATGGATGGAGTAGGAGCTAAGTCTATCCTTACCTGACAAAACAGGCATAAACCAGCTGTAAAGGCATCCATATCAATCTCCTTGAGCAGAGGAGAGGTTGGGACATAGCCTCACACTAAAATTTTTAAAGCCAATAATAAAGGTATTCATTACACCATCAAATTTTATAACCATTCCTAAGACCTTTATCCTCTCTGACATCTAATGAGAGAGTGCATGCTGTCTGGGGCCATGATTAGCTCAGAAAAAAGGAGAGATTAGAGTATTAGACATTACTGAGCAGATGGATGATTACACAGGATCTTAAGCCAAGAAATAAATATTCCAAGTACGTCACCTTGGGAAAATAAAAAAAAAAAGTTAATAAATCTTTAAATACCTGTGGAGATTAACAAGGACCTAACTTTATGGTGTGTCAGCATACATACCAGATGATGAAATAAAGAGTGTGTAAGGCTTTCATATCTTTTCTCAGTTTAACAAAGCTCACTTGGTCAAAACTTGGTGGGCCACAGGAATCCTGTGTGTGCATATCCCATGCAGGAAACTGCAGGTGACTCATCTACATTTCTGGTAATCCAGTATTATTCATACTGTGTTTTTTTGTATTTATTGGTGCCCCAGCTGTTGGTATTTTTCGGAATACAGAAATAATGAGTGGTGTAAGGTTTTGTTTTGTTCCCTTTTTAAAGTTTGCATACAAAAGAGATGGAAATGTTGATCAAGCAATTTACAGAGCTGGAAAAATGACAGGCTTAGTTTGTAATAACCAACTTTTTACTATACTAGGAAATTATAATTATTTAACCTGTATTTTTGCAAAAATGCCAACCAAGAAATCATACTGTTTCCTGTGCTCTGTATTTTGATATTTGTTTGGTTTTTATGTGTTTGAGTTAGTTTGTTGGTCCCAGAGCAAAGTTTGTGGTGTTTTTTTGGCTTTAGCCACTTTCCTAAGCATTAGCCTAAGGATTCATGTTTAGAGTCTCATCTACCCTCCATCTCCCCCCCACACTTCACTCCCATTCTTTGTTACAAGAAAGACACTTCACCATTTGGAGCAAGGATGAATGCCCTCTTTAGAGAGAGGGCTGAACCAAGAAGAACTATAATCTGTCTCAGTAGGCGGTTGGACATGATGAAAAGAAGTTTCTTGCCTCTGAAAAGAAATCTTGAAATGACTCTAAGTATGGTATTATTAAGGTGTGCTATTTGTGGACTGTTCCACTGATTTCTGTTTGCAACTTCTAATCTTCTTCCCTGCAGACTCTGCCTGGAAGTGGATGAAGTCTTCTTCTGCTTGTAATGTTTTCTAGATTGATTACACCCCCACTGATACCTGGGTATGTGCAAACTTGTGACTGCTAGACTGTGTCACAAGGGGTTAAATAACACTAAACCCACAACAACTACATTAGACAATATTCCTGTAACTGGCTGAGTCAGGCAGCAAAGAATTCTGAAAATCCTGGGGCAGGAGCCACAAGCATAACATCACAGATTATGCTTGTAACTATGGATGTGGAGACCACCTGTTCTAGAATCATTTCAGAGAAACAGACTGCTGCTTTCAAGTGGCAAATGAGTCTCGTGTCATGAGACTCCAGTGCTAAAAGTTCAGCCTGCAGATTTTATTCTTCTTTCATCAGTCTTGTCTGTTTCTGTCTTCTCATTTCTTGCTTTCACCTGCCTTTTTCCCAAACACATGTCCCTGTTGTTGTTTTCTCCCTTTTCCTTCTGCTTTCTGCAGGTCTCTTTTCTTGCTCTCTTCAGCAGGTCTGTCAGGAAGCAGATACAGTGCCCTTTGTCTCTTCCAAAGGAGCATATACAGAAGCAGATACAGTGCCCTTTGTCTCTTCCAGCAACTCTTCTCTGCCACCTTGACTGTATTGACTGACATCAATTAGTCACATGGAAATTGCTCAAGTGGGACACTTTATTTTTGTTCCAGAAACAGACAGGTTTGTCATATTCAAAAGTACTCTTTTGGTACCTCAGTTAGCAATCACACAGTATTAGATATTATATCTGAAGGCTTCTAACCAGGTAATGGCCACACAGATACAGCTCATGTTGCTCCTATGTTAATATTTATTTGCACAATATGAAATCTGCCTACACTTTCACATTAGGTGTAATATTTATCATTGGATGCAACATAGAAGTGATGGAAAAGATGAAATAAATAATGTTGAAATTGTCTCACAATTCCATATCTGAAAGTAATGCAAAAACCTAATGACCCTTTAGTAGCTGGTCTAACGCTTTTAATCCTTGACAGAGGTCCTGCTGTGATTGATTTTCTAACACTGGCTTAGTTGTATGTGCTTTGAAGAAATACTGGGACTACAGCACTCTTTATATTAGTCAGAAGGTATTTCTTGCTGGTGATTTAAAATTTTAAATAGAAAATAAAAGTCAAAAATATTGAGACTGGGCAGCAGAGCAACTAAAAGCTTCAGCTGGGATGACACACATAGAGGAAAATCCTGTCAGGTTAAAAACAGAAACATGTTCCACCCATGGATTAACTTTATATCTAATCCACTCATGTTCTGCCACATGGCACACTACCTACACACAAACACTCTGTGAGGAAGAGAACAGCAGCACAAATTTACAGTGAACATTACTTCCTTCTCATCCATTTCTATAATTCTGAAATTAAACAAACCCAGAAGTGCCCAAACATTTTCTAAACTATAGTATCAGTTATCTGCACAGTCATATTTCTGAAGATTTGCAAGTCAGTTTATTCACTCTACAGAATTATCCCTTCTGACTTCAGTATGCAGCATATCATGCTGAAGAACTTGTAAAGTCTACATCTATTCAGTGCTATGGATTTACATATTGGGTCTCTCTCTAAAATGACTTACATATGCATCATTCATGAGAAACAAACTCCTTCTTTTGGGAGTCTTCTGAATGGTGCTTCCCACTGTACATGTACTTTCAGTACCGAAACTTAATTGAAAATGTCAAAACTTGCAATAAATTTTAACATATTTGATTAGATCAACAGGGGACTGATTCTTCAGAGGTATTATCTGTTGAGTGAGATTAAGGCAAATGCAACATTTAGCACTCCTTTGCAAACAGCAATTTAGTCTTCCTCTTCTGAACAAACTGCAGTTGAAATCCAATCACTGGATTTCATATTTAAGACTAAGTTGCCTTCTCACAATTTTTCTGTTACAATTTTAGTATGATTAAAGACATAAAGAGTAAATTGAAGCCACTACTACAGTTTGGCTGTTGTTTTTAATTACCACTACCCATAAACTCCCACTTTGGCCACCAGTAGCTGGGGAAGAAAGAAGGATATGTAGAAAAGTGTGTCAGTAGCATTTGCCTTTCCCCCTTTCAGCACAGCAAGACCCTAAATGGGTCATTAGTGGAAGTGAGAATAGCCTGAAGCTTTTGTAGAAAACATTTGCCTATAGCAGCCCCTGGAAGCAAAAAGAGTGAACCCAACATTAGGGATTGTACCCCTGCCTCCCAGTGAGAGCTTTGAGATGGAATGAGGTGCAGAGATATGTGCTGTCCAACCGTCCTTCTTTGCCACGAGTTTATCAGTAAGGACTGCTTTAAACCTACACTGATTTATGCCAGATAAGGTGACTTTAAAGTTTTTCAGTGCTTGTGAGAAGTCAGACAGCAGCCTAAGTTAGAGTCAGCATTTCATAAAATACAGCAGATAACAGACCCCCTGAAAGCATTACATTCAAATAAATGTTTTCCTTCTACTTGTAGGATTTTGCAGGAATGTTGCACCATTGCTGTAATCCTCCTGATGGCTTCTTGGTTTTTAAAAAAGAGACAGTGTATCTAATTACTTGATTAATAAAAAAATGTACATACAAAGCTGAAAATGATGAAATTGCCAAAACCATAAGATACAAGAGGTCTGGTAAGCTAAATATTAACCTTAAAATTAGACAGTTGCTGAATTCATTTCAATTACATTGATTAATGAAACAACAGAATTCACATAGATATAAAGGCAAGTTCTAATGCTCCTTTTCAAAAGTCATCTAGAATTGGGTAAATGAAGTTGTCTTTGAACAAGTAATATGCCAAAATCTGTCCTCCACAAATCATTGAAATTACTCCAGACCCTGAAAGAAAAGATATGGTGTTGTTTTGTATTAATTTTTGTAGTGGAATACAAGCTTTATGATAAAATTTTAAACTGAATTCATTTTGTCTTCAATTAAAAAAAAAAAAAAAAAACAGCCCTCCAACTTAAACATTTTACCCAAGGCTTTAACTACTTACAAAGATATCAGCCTCCACAACTGCTATTGCAAAGTCTGTTGTAGGAGAGGGAATTTATTTATCTCTCCCCATCACTTAGGAATTTATTGCAGCAGTGGATCCTTGTTATCCATAATATAAGAAAGGAACAGAAGCCAGTCCTTTTTCCTTAACTACTGTTTTTCAAGATAATCTACTTTTCATGTAAAAATCTAGGCTTCTAATTTTACGGAAAATTAAGCATTCAGAAGTGTAGTTTTGCCATTCACTTTGAGGAAATGTGATGGCTGAATTCATCTCATCATTCATAAGTACTTGTACATAATGTTTATAAATCTTGCCTCTGAAGGTACCTGTGTTTCTTCATTGATTTTAAAGGCTATCAAGAAAGGCTACAGCTTTGGACAACTGTCTTTCTAACACCTGAATTGAGATACATTTCAACTTATTACAGGTGAAATAAGTTGCGATTAAGTCCTGACTAATTGAGATTAGTCAGGATTTAATCATGACTTATTTCAAGTCATGTGTCTGCTGCTTGTTTGCAAGACTAGTGTTAAATGGGCATATTCTGGCCTTAAAAGAGGATTTTTCTAAGATGTGGCAAATCCTAGTACAGCATTGTTTACCTGGGTCATTAAAAGAATTATTAACAAAATGCCTGCACTTCTTCTTTAAATGTTGACAATTCTGAAATTAGCGAGGCAACAATTCATATTGTAAACAGTAATTTTCTACACAAATTTTAGCACCATAAACTTTAAAGAATGAAATTATACCTAATGCCAGCCACCAGTGTAACATCAGGGGAAATTCAGACATAACTGCAAGAAGAACAAAAGTACAAATGTAAATTTTGAAACAGTAAGAATGGGGACAAGTAAGCAATGCACTATGGTATCAAAGGTCCGCTGTGTTTCATAGATTATATTTTTTGCAGATATTGAAATGCCAAATGCTTTAGGTCCTGACCAGCACCTGCCCTGGTCACACCCAAGCTGATCCATATCCCTATTGTGGGATAACTGCAGGGCCACTCTCAGACCCCACATTTCCCCCCAAAGAAAGCTGACAGGGGCATTAAAGGGGGCTGGGAAGCACACTGCATGTGCTGACAGCTCAGGGTCCACCAGCAGAGGTTTGGTTGGCCATCTGAAGGGAGCAATGATCAAGCTGGGGCTGTTGGGACATCAGGACACATAATCCAATATAATGACAGAAGCTAACTCCCAGTAAAAATTATGTACAAACAGGGGGAGAGGGGGGGTTGGTAGCTTTTGTAAATTCCTGGATTTAAATAGTAAAATTATTAATGAGAAATAAGAGTAGTCTAAAACCCAGAAAACCAAATTTAGTAGATGAGAAATTATGATTAATTTAAGATAAAGTCTCTATTGGTCTCTGGCTTAATTTGTTAGGGAACTGGGGAATCTCCCACCTGTATAATGTGCTAAAAGACAAATGGGCAAAGCAATGGAAAATGAAAGATTAATCTCTATACAGTAGGGAGTGTGTCCTAATTTGTCAAAGATATTTCCCTTTTTCTGCATTCTAGAATAAATATATTAACCTCATTGTTTTAAGAGAAAAGAATCTTGTCTAACCCTACCTAGGATCTGGCAAGGATGGAGTTAAAATATATTTCCTAATTAGCCATAGAAGCATTCTGCTAAACAGCATGAGAGGAGGAAGCAGATTACTAGGTGTTGGCAAAAAGACATGAAGGGTCTCATGTACAGCAGCTAATTCTTTTCTTTTTCTTTCCTTTAAGGGGTAGAGTTTCGTGGGGGAAATGCATTTCTGTGGTAAAATGCTTCATTTTCCTCATTGAGATTTAGTTCAAATGATCTGACTTAAAACCTTTGCACTGACTTTGCTGAAGAAAACCTCAGTTTTTACTCTGAAGTTGAGCTAAAGTGTTAATGAGTAGTTCTTAAAATATCCAGACATGAACAACTATTAATGTCTTGTTTTGAAAAAAACCTACAGCTCCCAGATGCAGAAATTGTATCTAGCCCTGGATCTGTTTGATATGAATTGTTAGAATATGAACTAAACCTCTGATTTTTTATAAGAATATAATGGTTTAAAATTCTGTGGCAGATCCCGAATTAAGTTTAAAATGGGAGAATTTAGAGGCATGAGTCAAATGGATGGAAAATACAGATACATATGTATTTAGCTTTAGGGGAAATTAAGTTAGTCCAGTAATACATTGGATGAATCCTAGTGGATTTGTCCTTCAACTCGTGACATTTTGTGATACTATTTAGCAGTAAACCTACTTACCGACTGAAGTTATGATGATATGAATAATAGTAACTGTTACAGCATAGTCCCAAACCCATTCTTCCACAACCAGAGCAAATAGCAGACCACAAAGGAAGAAAGTTATTTCCAGGGATATCACAAGAACTGTAAAGGAAAATAGGATATTTTCACCAAACACGGTTTTGAAAGACTTGTTCTCATATTCCAAACAATAGCAATAAGAAGATAAAATATCTGAGATAGTTATGCATTTTCATGGATGGATGAAAGGAGGATGCAATACTAGTTGGTGGTATGAAATAGCTGCTGTCTTTCACTTACAAACATATTGCATCAAACTGATAAAATTTGGGGAAAAAATCATGTTGAGATACAGTAATTATATTTGGCCCTGAAAAGTAATTCTAATGGAATATGCTTTAATTTTTTTTCCACTAGCATAACATAAATGTTCTTCCTTCATCTGAAATCAGTATTAACACTATACAAACATCCATGCATTTTTATTACTCTTTTAAGCTTCGTACCAATTTACTTTTGAGCTTTATGTATTTTACTGACAGATTATGAGGTTGGCCTTTGTAAAATAGATTACAAATCTGGTAAAATTTTATGTATGCATGTAATTTTTTAGGAATTGCTCTTTAGGAAAAAGAATATATTTTGAGAGCTTCAGAAAAATTGCAGAAATTTGTATGAGGATATATAAAGATCTTTTTAGGGATTGAGCTACAATCAAATTCTGATATTTTAATGCCCACTGTATTGAAGCATTACCAAAACAAAATTGCCATTAGTTGAATGTGACCCGTTTCTCTGATCTGAATCCAGTGATTCATAAGAAATTTGCTGCAGTAAGAAAATTAAATTAAACGACTTTGTAAAGGAACTTGATGGAGAATGGTAATTGTTCTGCAATGAAAATGAAGCATCCTGGCAAAGCAGGACATTTTCTTCTGATGATGCAAGATCAGAAGAACTCAACAAAAAGCCTAAAAATCACTTGAATTTTAAATAGCAGTTCAGAAATGAGAACCGCTGACAAGATGCATAAGCATTTAATTGCAGTGTAGTTAAAATACAGAAATCATTACTAAAACAGCTTTAAAATACTATCCATTGGAAGACAAGACAAGTTTACATCCATATGCAATATAGATTCTTGAGTGAGGGGGAAAAAAAAGATAAAGAAACTTCAGTTACCTAAATAATATGGGTTAATCCATGAGGGATTTGTTTTAAAATCAAAAGGTGCCAAACCATCCAACATTTTAATCCTGTGAAAACAAAATTAATAAATTTAAACAGAGAGTTCTAGTATTTAATATTTAGAGTTTAGATTTCATGACATATTATGAGTGTTTTTAAATAGTATTTCAAATGGAATACTCTTGCAAGCTCTCTAAGTCCCATTCTGAGTTTTGGCTTTGCCCTTGCTCACTTCTATTTAAGATATTTGGTGCTATGCATGATAATCAATAACTTCATGGGGGGATATAATTTCTCTTTTTCATTGACTATAAAATCTTTATTTTCCTGTCATTTTTTCATGTCATCATTTCTCTTACGTTCATTAATTTACATGGTGTAACTGCAAGGACAAATATTAGAACCAACATTTTATATTAGTTTTGAGTCTCCACTTGCCAATTTGAAAGAAGGTTCAGGTACAACAATTTAACTGAATTTGAAAAATTATGTTCCTCAGTCTGGATGCTTCCTTTAAGCAGGCATGTCTCCATCCATGAGTTCCAGTATGCCAGCCCATCAGACTGAAGAGAGGGAAATCTTACCTGAATACTGCAAAGCACACAGAGAGGACCACGTAGTACACAGTGTAGAAAACTATTATGCATATCAACAGGTTCACCAGAACAACCTGCAAAAGGGCATAAAGCAGTAAAACCTAAAGCCATGCTAACATCAGGCATTCTCAGAAAATAATTCTAGATTTCTATCAAATATAATGTGAAAAAGGTTTGTAAAATAAAATATTTAGGCAGAATTTTTGCTGTTGCTGATTACATAAATGTGCTAAAAGTGCTTTGGTACATTTCAGCTCCTAATGTGTGGCTGTAATGTATGGCTGTTTTTCTATCATATATTGTTATATACCTACAACATATACAATTTACAAGTGTTCCTAAAAGGAGGAGGACATTTCTTGATGGTTTTTAAGAAATTAAGGAGGTACAGAGACGAGACTCAAAAGGCAGCTGCAGCTAGAAATGTTTGGGGTTTTTCTCCATTAGGGCTAGAGGCCTAAAGAGGTCAATCTGTTTAGCTCCAAGGGATGATTTGATTATGATGGATAAGTACCTTCACAGAAAATGCCAGGTACTTAAGGGGTCTTTAATCTATCAGAGAAGACACAAGAAGTAAACAGCTACAAGTTCTAGCTCGACAAATTCAAAAGATGCAGGAAGGACATCTTGACTTATGAAGGGAACAAACTCCCTCTGGAAATAAGAGATCTTACTAAGCAGCAGTAGATGCTTCTGAGGATTAAATTTCAACACTAACATTCATTTCTGGCCTTAGTTCTTTGAGGGGTTGTGTGGTAGGTAATGTATTTACAGAAGCATCCAACATTGACAGAAGTGGGAACACTGTGAATACATCAAACCACCTATTTTTATATTGCTAAATGTTGTAAAGTGTTCAGTATTGAATACTGCATCTGTCTCCCACAAGAAGAGGGACCAAAGAGCTTTAGTTTCTAATGCAACAGGAGATAAATCCATCATGCCTGTAGAAACTGATATTTGTCAATAACAAAAAGTCCAGGACAGTCTTAATCTTTTCTTTTCTTTATTTTTTTTTTCCTACATCAAAACAAAGCCAAGCAAAACTGAGAACTATTAATCTCTTCAGCCACATCGGTTTGTGGGCTAAATACAGCTCCTTTGCACTGTCTGTATTCTTATTCTAAATGAAAATTGGCCAAATAACCCATTTGATCCCTTCCTTTCCACAGTGCACACCATGACTGTGGTAATGGAAATCAACTACAGTGTCACATGTAAGTTTGGCAGCCATGCTACCTCCTACTCCCCTGAGCAAAACTTCAAGCAGTGGAAGTTTAATGTCTGGCACATTTTTGGTGGGAATCTTTTTTGTTCCATTGCTCTGGGCAGCTGCACTTTCCCTGTGATTCTCCTTTATCCATCATCCCTCCTCTTGCAGCTGTCTCTGTGAAGCCTTATCTGCCCTAGATGGAGACTGGTACAGTAGTAAAAGTGGGGAGAGGGGACTGGAGGGAACATCCCAGAGCTGAAGGAGGGCTGTGAGACGATGACCTATTGACCTGTAATTACAGTAGGTGAATTCCCAGCCTTGAAGTCAGCCACCCACTTTCTTTGGCCTCAAAGGCACAGTATTTTTCTCTTTGTATCCAGAATATTCCTAGTCGCTGTTTTAGGGATGTAGTGAGGCATTAGCTACAGTATGCTTTGCTCACTTGAGTAAGCCAAGGAAATGCACACAACACGAAAATAAAAACACTGAAAATTTTCCAGTTTTATCACATTCTACCTAATTTTTTTTTTTTAATTTGACCTTGCCACAGAAATTTAAACATACATTTTTTTTAATCTGAGAATACTTTTTATTTTCAATCTATTTTCGCCTTTCTAGATCTTCTGGTATTTTAAAGCAAAAAACTCACAAGTTAAAATCTACAGGATTATTCATTATATGTCAAAACAACTTAAAAGAAGAATCTTAAGAAAACACTGCTGACATCAAATGTAAAATTTTATAACACTTCAAGAATTTTATCTCATAAGTGGAACAACATCACATATTTTGAAATCCTTTTTATAAGATGTACTTTGCAGTACTTGCTGCCAGCACTATAGGATAAAGTATCTTTTTAATTTTGGGGTATTTTTAGGAAGAGAACATTGAAGAACAGTCTGTAAGAATGAAAGCAACAGCTCATTCCAGCCCCGCAGCAGTTGTCTAATTCTCTAATACTATCTGGTGACATATACAACACTAAATAAACTCAATTCCCTTTACCTTGGTTTCAGCAGTTTTGACCTTGAGAGCCATGGACACATGATGAGTGAAAGGAAGTGCTCTTGCTATATTCCATATGCCAACTTTAGCAGGAAGAAGCAGCTGCTTTTCACCCCAAAAAACATTCTAGCGGGTAAGTATAGGACAGGGTGGGGTGAGGTGAGTTGATTGGATTAAACTGAATTGAGACAGAGGACATCTGTGGGCTAAATGTAAGCTGCTAAAGAGCAAAGAGAAAATCCTGCTTGCTCATGCAATGTGAGTACTTTTGGAGCTGCAGTCAACCAAAGCGCATCTAAAATGTAACTTGGCTATTTAGACACAATATTATTATTCTTTTCCACTTTTTAATTGCTTTTTTTCCAGCATTCATATGATCACAGTTCCTTGGGGTTATTATAACTTCCTACTTTTAATTATCTTTTACATTTTCTAGCATTAATTCTATTGACTATAGATGTGGAGTGGAACATTCTTCACAATGTTCTTTGCTAACATTTTTCTTCTGACTATCACGTTAATACATCAAGTATAATTCACATTAAATTAGGTATAATTAAGTTAGGAAATTCCAGACTTGTCTCATGACTCTTTTTTTTCCTGAACTGTATTTTGTTCCTTCGGTAGAATGAAATTTAGTGTGCTTTAGAGCACATCCAACTTCTAGTGAGCAACTCCTTAATGGATTCAAATTTGACTTTTTTCAAATTTGACTTTTTACAGGCACATTATGATTCGGTATGCTGTATTATTTGGAAAAAGAAGATGCTTCTGAAACTAAACCAAGAATGAACTTCTTCTTTTTCTGCTGACACTAACATAATATGTGCAAATTTCATTAGGGTTTTTTATGCCTTTTTAGTCATACAAAATAAATGTTATCTGCTCTAAAATGCAGTCTGCGCTCAGCAAACAAGAGCTTTCACTCATAGATTTGATAGCTCCAGATTGTGAATACTGCCAGGGAAATTACTGGTAGTATTGTGTGAAATTCCTTTCTGTGCAAAAATGCTAGCATGAAAATCTGTACATCAGTAAAGTCCTATTTTGGGGACTAAAGCGATAACAAAGGAACATACTGAAACAAAATAAAAAACCCTAAACTAAGTTGCTTGAACAGTTGCAATAGTCAGAGGTAGTAAATAAATGAAGAAATATTTGCTTTAATAATAAAAAAAAATTTGGAAAGGAATAAAATTATTGATTCAAAGATCACACTATCCACCCCAAAGAATCAGCTGAAAACAGCCATGATATAAAATTAATCTGCAGAAACTTTTTCAGTAGCTATAATTAGTAAGATAATTGAAAAAGTAGTGGATTGCATTAATCTCAGCTAACTATTAAACATAACAAGAGTTTACATTCACTGACTTCTTCACAAAGGATGGATTTAACCAAAGATTGATGATAGAAACAAAATCAACAAGTTTGACTGAAATGTAATTGAAGCTGTAGGCATGGATTTGTTGGGCAGACAAAGTGGTTCTTCCCATTCCTCTTGCACAGTTGAAAACTTTAAATACTCTAAGAGAACAGATAACATTTCTGTTGCACCCTTGCTTCGAGATCATAAACACTTAAATTGTGGTAGCCCGGGGAACAGGAGTAAATCAAACTTGCAAGTGGCAGAAAGTGTGTGTGACCCAAAATACTGACTAAGTCACTGGACAGTGAATGTTAACTGTAAAGATGATGCCGTTAGCCACATGCTGAGATAATGGAATCATGACTTTTTGTATTTTTTATTTTCTTAAAATTTACTGGATCAGCTGCAGGAAAAAATGGCAACTCCTATTCAAAAGTGAGAGACAAAAGAGAAGTTTTAATGGAAGTTAAAATAAATTGTCTAATCTGGTTTCAACAAGCCCTACTTTTTTAACACATACTCTTTTTTTTAGTCATTACACTATAGAATTTTATTAGGACTGTGAGGAAAAATAGTACTCCATTACTTTTGAGCCCCTGGAGTTGGTGCTACTTTGCTTTGTGAAAATGCACAGGGAACAGTTCTTTGGATAGGATATCAATATCTGACCCTCACATGCTTGACAATTGTTAGTAAAAACTATTTTTTGACATTGGCACTACACATATACTCTCTTTGTAGTGATATATAATGGACAATATCCAAGACACATCCAAAAAAACATAACAGCAGAAAATCACAGAATGGAGAACACCTTCTGAAAGTAAAATTAAGGACACTTCTATAAGGCAGTAATTCTTCTTAAGAATATGATAATGGCACCTAATAGTATCAATGCAGTACCTGGTTCCTATCTGCTTCCTGTACCAAAACAAAAAGTCAAATGTAATAATGAACTGTGAGGAAAATTTTGCAAAGCTTACAGCTAAGTTTGCTGCTGAAGCTTATTATTTAGAGTTGGTTTTCTGGATTTTGGCTTTTTTTTAAGGATGTTACAATTTACACCCACAATTTGTGATGCTGTAAAATAGTATTGCAAAAAAAAAAATTAACAAAAATTTGAAGAACAGTATCATACAGCAATATTACAGGAATATCTCATGGAAAAAAACAGGTAATTTGTGTTACCGTTAAGATGATTGTTTGCACTACAGCTCTGGGCCTTAAAAAGTAATGCTAGACCAGGAATCATATTTCTTAGGTAATTCCAAAACTTGAAAAAAGTTTTAAAATCAGAGAAATTAATAAATGCCAAGTTTTAGATTAGTTCAGTTTAGATATCCTGAAATCTTTAAAAAAATAGAGAGCTCAACCAAATGGTTGCAGACTGGATTGCGTGGTAAGAAATTCTTAGTTTATTGGAGGATGGCATCAAAACATGTGTACTCTGTCTCCATCTGCTGATAGGGAAGAACTACACTTACATTGTGTGTGAGGACCGAAGAGCTTGGAAAAACAAATGGTGGCCACTACTTTTGTGTCTGGAAGTGATTGGCCGAATCTGTCAATGCAGTGAAGGGCACTGAGATTTCTTCACTTGGAACGTGTCGTGGCTAAATACAGCTTAGCTGTGTCCCATGAAGGACAGCCCCTGCAGACTGGCACGGGCCAAATATGCATTGTCCAGCCTTAAAATGACAGCTCGACTCCCATATGGGAGGAGACAGAACCGTGTGAGGTCTCGACTCTGCCACCATGAGGATTAAAGCAATTAGCTTCTTTCCTTCTTCAACCTCCGTTGCAGATGGATCCATTTTAAGGGGTGAGGAATCTGAGAATTAGGTGGAAGCAGGAATGTTCTTTGTACGTTCTATTTTTACTTTCAAATTTTGTTGAATTGCTTTTAACAATGCCCCTATTCCTGGTAATTTTATTTAAAAGAATTTAGAATATAATTGATTAAATAAGACATGAATTTTAGGAAAAGTTGTCTCCTTGAATTTCTGTGTTAAAGCTTACAAATTCTAAAATGTTCATAGCACCAAAAGAATTAAACTCAAAAACTGGTATAATTCCTTCTGATTAGCAAACTGAGAATGAATTGGATTCTTTTTAGAAATAATTAACCCCAATGAGCTACTTGTATCTAAGGAGTTGAATTAATTAATAGAAAAAATAGTAAACATCTTTTGTTTTGCTAACAGACACTGTTGGCTTCGTGAACAAGTTCAATATAAAGCTTGAAAGTATTGGCAAAGAAACCAATTTAATAGGCTTTATTTATTCAAACTAGAAATTAATTTTATTGTTTGTGAATGGTGTGGGATTGATAGAACTGAAAATGAAGTCTTCTGTTTATCCAGAGAGAAGCTATAACACAATTGCAGCAATGTAAACTTTCCACTCTGGCCCCGCTGTATGACTAAGAAGAAAGTTTAATTGTCTGTATTTAAAAAAAAGAAAAAAAAAATCAATATTTGGCCTTTCTGCTGAGAAGCTAAACCTGCTGAGAAGCCTGTATTTTGAAGAGATTCTGGCATTTCCACTAGTGTTAGTGGGAATTTTTTATAAGTACAGTGAAGCACTGAAAAATCCCTTTAGGACTAAGCCCACAAAAACTGAGGAGCTGTGAAATTGCTGCAATGGTTAAGGGAAAATGCATCATGTGGGATCAAACACTTGGAGATAGGAAAGGCTGCTGCACCTCCATGCTCCCAAGATCAAAGAGCAGCCAGGCTGTGTGTAAGCATGCACACAGAGCATACCAATATGTGCATACACATCACATGCATGCATATATGTACACGTGTACATGGATACCACAGAGCTCAGACACACACACAGACACCACCCATGGTCTCATTCTGCTCCTGTTGTGGTCTGAGTAGGTTGGAACTCATCAGTGAGATTTATACATATTTATGCACACAGAAAGGCAGCTGTGACCTGGCTCCAGAAGCTGGATCAGCACGCTGTCTGCCCAGGAGTTGGCATCGTGATCCCAGTTTGTCCAGTTGCTGAGACCAGGACATACTCACCCCTGTGACTGCAGCCCCACTCCAGTTTCGGGCCCAGACTCTCACACTCAAACACTTTGCCACACTTGTTCCTTCACCAATCACCTAAATCCCTCCTTTCCCAGCCTTTGGTTCCACCCTTAAACACCTCATTACAAATACTGGGCAAGCCCAAAAAACACTCTTCCCCTGCATCCCATACTGTGTCCCACCCCTTTAGCCTGAAAGGTGATTCAGAGAGAAACTCCAAGTGACTCATCTTGATGGGTTTCACACCTGGGCAAAGGGGCTGAAGTTCTCCTGATAAAAACCTGGAAGATGTTTGCTCCTCACAGCAGTAACTTGTGTTCCCACCTGCCATTGAATGTCAGAGCTCCCCTGGGCTTGCAGAGGTGGGACAGTGGTTCTCCTTGATGGGCCTGGGATTAGCCCACCATGGTTCTGTTTGAGCTTCCTCTCTGACACTGTTTCTCACTGCTCTCCCTCATGGGTATGCCAACAGGCTGTTACCACATCATCTAACAGCTGCCAAGCCTGGTTCTCCACCATTAAAAAAGCCAAAATCTAGCTGACAGGATATTGCAGGTGATATTGGAATGGTTGAGCAGAATGGGACTGCCGGCTGTATGGCTGATTCAACTATGAATTGTGTACCTTACCAAACT